AAGGCAAGCCCTGCCTAACAAGCTGGCTGTGGAAAGGAAGTTTTCCAGAAGGAAGCATCTGCTTAAGCTTTTGCAGACCCTGGGCTAGCAGCTCTGGCTCAAAAGTAGAGCTGCAAGACCAGTCTTGCTTCTTGTGTGAGATGATGGAACATGCTGCCTCTACTGCAGCATCCCCTTGGAAATTTTCTGTTACTCCCGAAGAAAATAAGTAAACTGCTCCCTTCCCACGCCAAACCAAACAAACCTGTGAAGACTTCAAAGTTGGAAGAATCAGATCCTGAATGTTACAGGACTTGAACCCATCAGTTCCCAAATGCAATCTCTGGAAATGTGGTTCCCATCTCTTGCCTCATTTTCTGATTTCTTCTTCCCAGACGGTGCAGGGCTGCAGTCTCTTGGTTTCAAGAGCATGCAGATACTGATGTAAGATTGCAGTAAGCTCTATATTGCAGGTTTCCCTTTCCAAATCGCCCTTGGCTGCTTTTCAAAGAATGTACACATCCTGACTGCTATGGAAAATATCTTCTCTTTGCTCCCCTCCACTGCAGCATCCCAGCCTGTGCAATTAAAGGAAGGACTGTGATTTTCAGCACACTTCCCCGCTCCAAGAGCCTTCTAGCTGCTCCAAGCATCTAGTGGTTTTTGGTCCAGTAAGAACCTAGCCATGCCTCCTAGACAGCACTACAGGTTGCCAGGTTCTGTCCTCCAACACCTTTGCTTAAAAAGCACTGCTGCTCCTCAGGATGCGACTTCCATCTCTGGTTTGGCCTCAGGCATGCAGACTCCTTGAGGCATTAGACATATTAACTCCTCCTCTATTAGTAGGCACATCTGGACCTTTCTTCTCCTCCTTGCCCAGAAGGAGGGCAAAAATATCATACAGGTCACAGAAGGGGACTGAACATTGGCTTCTGACTTTTCAAACAGAAAAACAGGCAGGGGGTTTATCTAAAAACACACACTGAGAAGGTCTTGAGTGCAAAGGAGTCTGTGGCATCTGGGATGCCAGCAGGAGAACTGCCCCACTCTCACACCCCCCACCTCCAGGCCAGTTCTGTGCCTGAAACCATTCCCAGCATGGGACTTGCTGACATGAAAAGTAAAGAAAATTGCTCGGCTGTTTAGGCTGGCTCAAAGTGAATACTCCTGGCAGGTTTTAAGCCTAGAAAGGTTTTAAACATTGCATCTTTCCAGTGTGCTCCTGCGATGATACAATAGGCGCGCAGGCAACCGTGAATGAAAACTGCTTGCTCCCTCTGGACCCATTAGGAGACACGCCTCTGACCAGGACGTCATGGTGGGTGCTTCCTGTACACAGGGCAGATAAGATGAAAGACCTCAAGGGAGATGCACATCTCTGTCCAGAGCGACAGCATACCTTAATCATCCAGCTTGGTGAAAGTGCTGAGGAAAAAAAAAGTCATGCAGTTGTCACTTGAAAAGCAAACTTCGGTATTAGCAGTACACACAGACTGCTCTCTGGGAACCATTTAAATAGGTGGAGGTTTCAAAAATATGAAAACTGAGCAAAACCATGAGCAAGGGAAGCATGGCTAACTCGATCCTATCATTGCCACTTATGAATTATTCACTGTGCTCCAGCCCACATGCACGAGGCACACTTTTTAACACACTGTGAGACTGCATTACAGATGGCTCCCTGCCATCTGTGCTGGGAAGTCCCTTGGACACATATTTTGCAGCAATGCCATAGGGAAAAACCATGCTTGGGTCAGCTCCTGTACCTACAAAGGGAAGAAGGTCCTCTGTCTGCCTGCTACACCTCTAGGGTAGCTGAATGGAGACCACCACAATTTCTATCTCTCATGGCTTGTGGCATTGCTCATCCTTTCTAGACACATATTTTCCAGAAGAAAAACAACAGCAAAATCCCACAGAAACAACAAAGGTTTGCAGATTGCAAGAGGGTTACAGGAAAACTCATCCTGTATTTGGAGCCTAAGGCCACTGTGTCCTGCATGGATCAGCTCCATCCCAAGTACTGCCAGGTCTCTAAGGACTGGGGAAACAGAATAATGCTGGGGTCACCAATGGAGATTAGCAATCAGCCTCTTCTTGTGCACAAAACTTTACTGTTCCCTCTCTGTATTTCCAAATTTAATTACGAAAACTTTTGAGTAAAATTTCACCACTCTGAAAATGCCAGATAGATTGTGAGCACCAATTCTTTTAGTCATTATTCAAATAGAGGAGAGAAAGGGGGACAAACTATTTTGCAGTGAACCACCATTTTTTTTTTTTTTCCCCAGGAAGGAATCCCTTTGAGAGTCTAACCCAGAGGTAGTTTCTGCTGCCAAAAGCTGCCATGCCCAGAAGAGGTGGTGTACACGAGGACTCACAGCCTGCACATTCTTTGCTGCTCTGAAATGAGCACGGTCTTCTTGGGATAGACAAAAGCCAAACCAACAAAACAGACCCTGGCATTTCTCTGCACTGCTGGGTTACTGAATATGTGCCAGCAGGACTCCAGCAGCCAGACCTATCCCATGGCATGCAATTTTTCAATTTCCTGCAGCCAACAGATCTTGTAGCAGAATTTCTCCTACTGCTGCAGTTGGCCTTGTGTCACTGATCCAACTTCATTAACCAGCCTCTGTGAAAATATAATCACCATTAGAAAACCTGTGTAAGGGAAAAGATGAGACACAAGAGCTGCACCTCTTGGAGGTAATTCCAGAGGGAAGGTGGGTGGCCTGAGACTCTCTCAAGCCAGGTGTGCCCTGCCTACTCTTACTTGAGAAAGGACTGTTGAAGTCAGTCTATACCCAGAATCACTGGGCATGGAGCACTCCATTACTTGCCTCAAAGGACATTTTTTGGAGACACCTTAAAAAACCAGATACTCACTTTCCATGCTTGGCAGTTAGTTTGATTTGCAAAGTCCCTCTTTCCATCTGCTTTATTTCTGGCATGGGCAAACTGATGATGGCCCAGGGGAGTGCTGAAAGAGCACATCACTGGGAAGCCCATTTGATGCTACAGCTCCAGCAGACAGGCCTGGCTCACCTCACAAACACATGTTGGGACCAGCCAGAGAGACAAGGAAATAGAGGCACCACTGCTTTCCTTACACTGCAGTTTGGTTGAACCTCCTGTTGAACCAACCATGAGAGCACACAGACACAATTTCAACACCACACAGTGTATCAAACACCCACAGCTTCATCCACTACTATCTCCCGTGATTGTGGCTCCACTAAGATAAACAGGGAGACTTGACCAGAAGCTACACTTGTCCTTAGCACGGGACACATTTGACACAGGCTTCCCATTTCCTCTAAGCAACCTTGCAATACAAAGCTGCAAGTGATAACTGTGCAAGGGGGTTATTCTTGGCCTGATGCAGCTATGTGGATAAATTCTGAAGCAGCTATGGAGAGCTTGGGACATAAGTCACAATCCAAGACCTTTTCCTCACTGCACTGATTGGCGAGGTATCATCTCCTCATGCACAGCTACATTTACTGAGACTTATGTGGATTTAATGCCACACATCATGGAAAAGCCAGTGGCAGCAATGAAATACCAATGCAAACCCACTAACAGGAAAATATACTTCTTCCAACAGCAGAGTTACTGGCAGCAGCCTTCACAACAGGAAAACAGTAAACAGCATTAGGACCACGACACCCACTGATCTGCATTAAACAGGTGCCTTTAACGGGTGTCATACTGCTGTCCTCTAATATTCCTCCAGCAGATTCCATGCCACATCTATCAGCAGCACTCCCAGCATGCCTCCATCTCCTCTCCTCTAGAAACATATGAATGATCCATCCAACACTTCAACAATCCAGTTTAATTACCAGGACAGGTATCTGCACTTCCTAGCTGCTGGCTGCCAAGCCTGTGCACGTACACCTGGGCAGCAGGAATGAGATGCAGCCCTGCTCCAGCTAGTGTTTTTCTGTTCCACAGTGAGGATCTGCCAATCTACATCCAGCTGTCACACTGAATTGCCCACTGGGTTTCCTGGCTGAACCTTGTCTGGAGAAGGCAGGGGGTGGCTCCAGTGATCTGGCAGCGCAGTCCTCACAGTCTCAAATGCCACCTGTTAACAGTCCTGGAAGGGCTTTATGGTAGATAAATGCCACTGGGGAGCCCTGAATTAAATGGCAGGAAGTAAGCCAGATAGCAAAACGAAGAGACCATAAAACACAGAGCATGAGGGACAAGAGAAGGATAGGTCAGTCTCCAGGATTTTACAGAAGTTGTGTCATGTGCCTGGTGTGTTGATGCACACAGAAGGAGATGTAATAATGTTCCTGCCTCCCGTCATACCTCCAAGTGATAGGGGACAATGGCAACTCCATGCCTGTGTCCAGAGTGACAGGTCATTTCAACTTCTGGGCAAAAGAAGGGCAGACAGACCAGAGCCCTGGACAAAGGAGTAAGCCAGTCTACACGATCTCTGTCTGTACAGTGCAAACCCAAGAATAACGTAGTATGAGTGAAATCCTAGCCCTACCTTGTTGGAGAAGCAGTGACAATGTACCACACTTCATCAGTCTGAGCCCAGGCACTTTAGCATCGCAGTGTAGAAGAGGGATTAAAATTCCCAATGTCACTAAAAACAATTTTATTAGGGTAACTGTTTGTAAAGTTTAGATGTTTTAGCCAAAATGGACTCTTAGAAGTTTCCCTTTCACAACAGGAAAGACAGCCTTTTTTTCCCCCTGGTTTATTGGATGGATACACCAACATGCGAAGAAGTGGAGGTATCTCCAAATAGCCTAGTGTAAAAGGAAAAAGTCACAAATCCTAAAAATGTGTCCTGCTGAAAGGAAACATACTGAAGACTGCAGTAATTGCAACCTAAGAGACAAGCACTGCCCACCACCCACCCCCCATATTTGAAGAGGCCATAGTCCAGCCCTCCATCCTGGAGACTTCCACCCATTCCAAAGGAAGGTCTGCACTGGGTCTGATTGGCTCAGGCTCCCACCCCAGACATTCCCCCAGGTTGAAGATCCACTTACCTGCCTGGTTTGTGGTTACATTTACAGACACAAACTGCCGGGCTCCGGGGCTCTGGTCGGACACTCCATTCACTGCCTCAATTTCAAAGGTATAGTTTGTGTGAGCAAGCAGATCCACCATCATGACAGAGGTGTTTTTCAGGCCGGTTTGCTGGGGGAGGTACCTGACATGACCGCCACACGCCTCACACAGACCCGAGTGTGAGCTGCACTTCTTGCATGCAATATAATAAGACACATCTTTCCTTCCACCAGTATCAGCAGGGGGAATCCATTCCAGAAAGACACTAGTCTCGTTAACATTTGAGATGGCACTCCGAGGAGCAGAGGGGGGTCCTGGTTTGCAAAGTGAGAAAAACACATGGTAAAAACAGTATCATCAGTCATCCTGCTTGCTACTACTCTCTAGGCTGAAAAGAGTTGCTCTGTTGCTCATGGGGACCATTTGCAACAACACCTGAAGAACTGGGAAAACAGGGATTTGTTTTGAGCACTCTCACCTTGCTCAAGAGATCTGTGTTGGGATGCAGCCACCTGTGTGGGAGGACAGTACACAGGTCTGGCTCAAACCCAAGAGGAGGAGCACTGAACCCTGGGGCATTGTCTCCAGTGCTCTCCTGGCTCTTTCTGCCAAGGGATTAGCAAGTCTTTGCCCTGTCCAAGTTCCTGTTGGCTTCACCAGGGGCAAGATTCCTCCTCCTCACCCCACTGCCCCTGTACCACTAACCCCTAGGTCCTTAAAAAAAGACACACACCGGGGTTTTCACACCACCCAGGTACTCAACTCGGATGCCAAATCTTTCCTCTGTATGCAGCCGCCTCTTCCATCAGCCATTTGGCAGCAGTGAGACCAAAGCTTAGGCATCCAAATCACACTTAAGTGAGATGCTCGATGCAGCCCAAAGCAGATGGTGATCTACACGGGCCACTGGAAACACGGCTGTGTCCAGCCACTCCATGGCAGCCCTCCTGGTCCCCGCCAGGCTGCGGCACGGCTGGTTACCCACGCCGCACTTGCTTACTTTGCCAAACCTCCCTGCTCAGGATGCCAGCGTGGCACTGGCAAGGCTATCCAAGGAGGAGCAGCTGCTGCAGAGGTACCAGAGCACCTGCACAAAGTGGGCTGCTTCTCCTCATCCTGCTGGGAAAGGCCACGGCTGGGCAAGCAAAGCCCACCTGGAGGCACCTTCAGGACTTGCTGCCTCGCAGAAGGCGCTGCCAGGTTTTTGTTTTCAACAGGTTTGTGCTGCACATGAAGGGCAAGCTGCAGATACACCCCGAAGACAATGTGAAAGGACAAGCAGGAGTCTCATGCAAGCTGTCCTTGTGTTAAGTACTCAGGGAATGCTAATGAATGAGGAAGAAAGAGGAAATTTATCAAAGCAAGCCAGGATGGATTTTAGTCACAGCACCACCAGAAACTATACAGCAAAGGCTGGGATTTTTGCGAGGGAAGGCAACACAACACGCTCCTCTATGGTTTGAATGAAGTTGTCAAAACCCGTGAGCAGTTCCTTGAAAAGGGTCCAACAAGTAGCTTCACTAGCTAGACATCCATATGAATCTTAACAGGCTGACTTAGGCTGTCATCTTGTTTTGTTGTGATAACTAAACTTGATTCGTTATTTAAAACAGGCAGTGTTGCAAAAATGAAATAACCTTATAAACCAGAAGCATTCTCCTCCATTTCCTTTTTCTATTTCCCTCTCTGAGTCTATAAAATTTGTAACACTGATAAACTGAAACACTGTAATGATTTCGACTCAAGCTCTTCTGATTCAATGAGAAACTCGCTGCCAGAGGAAATAAATAATCCTGATGTATTTTTTTTCTTTTGTTTTTCAGAGGAAAAGCAGTTGAAGAAAAAAGCTAAGTTGTCTTAGGAAATGCCAGATCATCTTTGTTTTGTTCTGTGATCCCTTCAGATCCCTACAAACAGGGAGCAATCCACTCCCAAGCTGCACCCCAGGGATCCAGCACTATTGAGCTAATGACACCAACATACAGCCCAAGTCAGGACTATTTTCTGCAGTGTCATACTTGTACTGATATAATGGAAACTATAGAATTCATCACCAGAGCTGTATGGAGTTATATGTGCTGCACTTGAAGATTTTTTATATGTTTTTTACTGGTTAAATGGCCCTATTTTTTCTTCCACTGGATGAATGCCCTTTTGCTGATGCCAGTAGTCTAGGAAAATATAAAGAACTCAGGCACAAGAAACACTTACTGGACAATGTGTCTTTAACGGGGGATAAATTATTACTTTTGTAAAGTCACCAGAGGTTTTTACTTGCTTTGTACAGAAAAGTCAGCTACTCTTCTTGAAGGCTTAAAAACATCAGCTTCAGTGGAAATGCTTTAAAACTGGCTTTTGTAACCTATAAAATTAGTGTTCTCACAGGGCCTCAGAGAAAGGTCCTTAGAAGAATCCTGAAGCTGTACCTGGATAAAACTTGGCTAAACCTCAGCTGGGAGAACAAAAATATATTTTACCTTCAGAACAGGGGGGCCCTAGATCTGCTAAGGTGGTCTGCTTTAATTTCCAAACTCCTGTTGTCAAGGCACAAATATTAGTCTACTGACTTTTAAAAAGATACATGTAATTTTTGAATTTGCTGTTCTATACCCTCAGATTCACTCCTTCTGGACCACAGTTTTCTGAGAAGAGGCAAACACTTTCTGAAAACAAAAATTTTGGTATTTTCCTTGATGGCCAGCAAACCTGTTGTTTACTGATGCACATATTTTAAAAATATAACCTAAGAAAGAAACTACTCGGAAGATAGAAATATATGTTTGTAAACACTCAAAGTTAACTGTAAAGTTTTTGCAGGTAGACTATTACAGTAAATACAATCAAGTCTTTTTTTTGTCCCATGTGTCATAATACTACAAATATTTCCCCAACATTCTCTGAGCAACAATAAGGCTACTTGTAAGAGACATGAGGAGAAAAGAAAAGAATGGAACAGTTTTGGTTTTAAAGAGATGTTGTGCAAGGAACTGAAACTAGGATTACTTAGTTAAGAAGAAATAAAATGCAATTACTTCCTGGAGGATGCACAATAATATTAAGAGAATTCTCAAATATCCATCAGGACCAAATTTTTTTCTTTTTTGTCTGAGAGCACTAATTATTTCAGACTGCATCACAGCACTATGAGTTTCAAAATTACCAATCATTACTGATAAAACATACTTTAAAAACTGGAAAAACTGAACAAAAATGTATTCCTCCCTCACCCTGTACTTAACTGAGCAAGTGACAGTGATACAGCAGCTAGTTTTCTTTAGTGATGCTGGTGCTGGTGGCGGTGGGGAGTCTCATGCAGCTTGGAACTGAAAAACACTCACTTTAAATTAAGAAAATGTGATTTTACAGCTATACTGAGTGGCAAGGGGACTTTGCAGGTGTAGATGTGAAAACAAACATTGATGTATTCTCTAAAATTAACTGCATTTCTTGTTGAAGGAATCCTATGAATATTATTAACTTCTGTGGCAATAAATAATAAAAACATTAAAAAAACCCTTGCAATATTTTCCTACCTCTCATGACTCAAGTCTCTCTCACTTTTGTTTTAGCTCATGATGAGCTGTTGCCTTCCAGATATAACTGGACTGGTTTAGAACACCAGTGTTGCTACCTACTCCTTACTGCCCCTGCCAAAACCTTCTACCCCTGCTGCTGAGCTGGAGCAGCACATGCATCCCTCCTCATCACCTTCAGCACAAACAGAGCAGCATTAGGACAAAATCCTAAGAAAAGATGCATGGGGAAGGTGGCAGAAGCACATGGAGAAGGCTCAGATAGTCCACCCTGTTTTTGGGGTGGTAGGTGTGAATGCCAGCAGAGGTGCTGCAACGTCCTCGGCTGTGGCTCTGGGGTTTGCAGTGGGAAGCAGAAGCTGAGCTGCACCTTGAAGGGTATTGAACTTCTCATTTGCCCCAGAAGGGCTTGATACCCTGCCAAGCCATATCCTAACAAAGCTTCAGGCACTACGCCTGGGCTTTAAACTAGCTTACAGTAAGCTCTCAAAACAAAAGAAAACCCCACACTGAAAGAAAACCACCCAAACAGTAAAAGCCAACAAACTCAGACAGTCACCACCAATAAATAAGCACAAAATCCCCAAACAAACATAAAAAGAAAATCCCATGGCATTTGCAGAGTTGGAAATTACAGCCTTCACCTAGAGGGTTTGAACTGCACTAGAAACCTGGGAAAGACAGGCTCTTGAACTTAATTTCTTTTTAACAGGAATTGTTCACCTAACTCACTTGTGCCTCTCTGAACCCCACTGATGCTGCTCAGGCCATAGGCATGCAAAAACATCCTCTGGGATGGCAGCTCCTTCCCTGCCTAATGCACCAGCAGGACAGACTGCATGTGTACCTTTCCACTGTGAGAAGGGCAGAGAGCACACCTCTGATGGTGGGCAGGAGGCACAGCAGACACCAGAGTCTGGCATAACTCTCTCTCAGTTGCTGGCTTTGGCTCTGCCTGCACAGAAAAGCCTACTTTATGAGTGTTCCAGAGCTCACTGTGTTTCCCAATACCCTGCTGGACCACATTTATCTGAGTTTTTAAAGTCAGGCCAAGGGGTAAAATGAACATCAAGAAATGCTGGTATCAGATTTTTCATGCTATAACTCACCCTGGCTATGCCTCCAAAAGACTCTGGCACACCTGTTTAATAAACTGGGAAGCACTTGCCTGACTCACCCCCCAGACCTCTTTGATCTGACAGCACCAGTGACTCCAATGCTGCCTAAGGCTGCCTTCTCCTTCCCTGCAGCACAGCTTCCAACAGCCATGCTCCTTTGGCTGGTGAAAATCAAAGGCAGAGTTCAAGGGGCCCAATTCTGCTCCAAGTGCCTCCTGCAGGCAAGCAGAGAGCTGCCAAGGGCAGTTTCCTTTGAGAGAGTGTGTCTCCAACAGGAACAGACTTTTTCTTTCTCTGTTTGAAGTGGAAAGATGGGGAGATATGAAGGACATCTGTATTCACTGGGAAAGGCACAAAAGCTGCTACCATCCCTACGTGATGCAAAGTACTTCCCTACAGTATGGAAGTCACCACTGCACCATTGTCCAGTGGCTCTGAGCATGTATGGAATCACAAACCTACTTTTTCCTCCATTGCTTAAGTTTCTTGGAAGCCCTAACTACTCCTGCACCAGTAGTTCAACTCCATTTCAGTAATTTTCAATCACTTCTTCACCACAAAAGTTAAATTTGGAGCGTGACAGTCCCAGCTCAGATCTGTGCTATACTCAGCAGGACTAGCTGGGGGCGTGGAAATTGTGGCCTTAAGTATCTGAAACAAACTGAACAAGGGACTTTCAAGGTACAGCTGGCAGGACAGCTCATGGATGGCAGGAGAAGGGTAAAATTAGTGATTCTGATTACACCAACTCCAGCCTGGAGTCCCAGTAGCCCAGTGTTCCTGTTATACTGCCCATCCCCTACATCCGGGGGCTAAGTTCTACATTTTGGAAAAGCAGTTTCCATCACAGAGTTTTGAGAAGAGTGACCATCTCCAGGCAGACTGGAAAGATAGGGCTCTCTCCTAGCTTGTTTCCTGAAAATGAGCTACAGGATGACACCAAGCAGGGCCATGGAGATTCTATCCATGCCACTGCTGGCAAGGATACCCGTGGTAAATTCCGCGTGCGTGCCCCATGCTGGCACCCACACACTGACATGGATGTCCAATGCCATGCTGCTGGCTGAGCTCACCCAGCAGTGCAGGGGGACAGACAGAGCATTTGCTCATTACAGAAACTCTTCCTGGCTTGGATGCCAGCTTTCAAAGCAAAAAGCACTGAGAAGCTTCTTGTGTAACCGCGAGTACAGTGGACAAAGACAGTGACATTACAAGTGTGCCAGGACTAGTTCAGACTCCAGTGCAGAGCCTGAAAAAGCAGATTAGTTAGTATCATAATGTCTAGTCATAGTACAGGAACAGCTTGAAAGGATTAAAAACAACCCTATAAGCACATGCTTACTTGTACAGGCCATTGTAGGTGGGTCTGATTCCTTCCTAAAATAGTGTTCTTCACACAGGCAAGATGTGGATGCTTCATCAAGTGTGTAGCTGTGAGGGGGACATTTGCTGCAGGATGGACTGTGGGGTGAAGCTTTGAAGAACCCAGGTCTGCATACTGTGAAAAGAAGAACCACAAGCTAAGCTCTCCCATCATAAAATTAATCTCTTCACATTTCCTTTTAAAAAACCCCCGTATCTTCAGCTATAAAACAGACAAATATTCACGAGCTATTTAGTTTGCATATTTTAAAACAGTCTATGCCACTAGCAGATAGTGCATACTTAAATATCTGCATGAAAAGAGAATGTGAATTTGTTGATTATTTCTTTCCCCTAGCATCTGCCATTGCTGGATATTTATTTTCCTTGTTGAATGCATTAGAAGTAACATCATCTGGGCTCTGCTTTAGAAAACATTACTGTGATTTTTTTTCATTCAGTCTTAGGAAAACAGGTAAAATACATTTCATGGTTTTTGGTTTAAGATGTTCTACACCCAGAAATCAATGTCTCAGCAAACAAATAGCAACACAGTGGTGGAGGGGATCTCAAGATCGACATCTTTAAGACATTGTGATAAGGCTACTTCCCTAGGGTCTTTCCCCCTGCAAACCTGTGAGGAATTTTAAAGTGCTCCATATGACAGGCTGTTCTGGGTATAGTCTGAACTAGGCATGCTAACCATACAAGATATTTCTTCCAGTCCCAATACATATGCATGAGGAGGCACAAGGACTTGATCTGAGAGTTACTTTTTTTTCTTACAAATCCACGGTTATGGGTAGCTTGGGATTTTTTTTAAGTAGTTTGAAATGAATACAGTAATATCTTGTTTCCATCCTCCCGAAACAAGTGCTTTTTCACCTATGCAAAGCTCTCTGCTCTTCACCTCTGTGTGCACACTCAACCAGAAGCAGTGATAGCCACAGTTTTGTAAGTGGTTTTTTAAGAAAAAAATTCAGCTGGCTCTGTATCATACCATTATATACAGAATTACAAATGCACTGTTAGCAAAAGGAGGAAATGTTGACTTTCTGTTTGTCTCAAAAAGCAGACACAAGGAGACATGTTAAAGCAGCTCTAAAGTGCTGTTACCTTTCTTCCTTCTGAATTGCTTTAAAATATTTCTGCCCAGTATGATATTAATGATGCACAGATCTGCTAGCAGACTTGAAGAAGTTACCTGTAAATCCCAGAGCCTTTCCATCTGCATTCAAACTCTCCCAGTTGTAATTAGCTTGCAAAGGAAATGAGTTCACAGTGAAAGCATTAATATTATCCCATCAGGAATGTCCCAGACAATCACAGCATGTGCTAAAACTCAATAAGTGATGACAGAATTAGTCTTCACTGTAGGTGAAGTATAGGTTTTCACTAGTGATCCCTTTCCTCTGGAGGACCAACTAGGACAACTGCTTTTAAAGTTGGCTCTGCTTCCTGCAGCACCAGAGAAACTCCCTTGCCATCTTCCCTTTTACGTCAGTAGTTTCTCCACCAAAGGCGAGACACTTGCACATCAATTCCCAACACCCAGAGCTCAACTCTTAAGTCTTTGGTGATGAAGATCACTCATGCATCAAATGTGTGATACAAGAGCATCCAACAGACCTGCCCCAGACCCCACCTCCACAGCCTTGCCCAGACTTCACACCTCTCAGAGCAGGAACCATGCAGCCCAGAGCAGGTCCCAAGCTCAGCACAGGCTGATGGTGACCAGGTCACCCCATGGATCTGCAGCTTCTCTGTCCTGCTGAAGGGGGTGATCAGCTCCCTTCTGACCTCCCCAAACCAAGCACCTTCCCACTCTCTTCCACAGCTTCCCTTTCTTCCCACAACACAGGCAGAGAACAACTGGTTGGCCTGGAGAGATTTACGGGTCCTAAAAACATGTTTTCCAAAATTGCTCATCATCCAGCTAGTGTTCCATTCCATTCCTAGGCTGTGGTATCCACCTGCAGGGTGTAGTTGTTCTGCTTTGTGCCCAGACACCAGGACCAGCAAACAGATCTAGGGTTGAATCTGTTCTTGATGGCTTTTAGCAGACTTGCCATAAGCTGCCCTCATGATTTATAGCACATCCCTCAGTTTCCAGCACGTACTTAAATTCTTTTATTTACTTTACAATCACCTTCAAATGCTGCCCTACCTACAGCGAGGATGGTTATACAGTCTCTGGAGTGTCTTCTGGAAGAGCAGACCACCAAATGCTTCCTCTCTAGCCCACAATTTGTATTTCAAGGCCAAATCAAACACCCTTGCACACACAGACAACAGTGGGGAAATGAAAGCACAAAAATGTGCAACATGTAATGACAGCAGTGCACATCTATTGTGTACTCAGTGTAATTAGCCCTCAAAAAAGGACCTGAATTTATCTCATTATGTTCTATCAAAACAGACAGAAAATCATTACAGCACAAGAGTTTACTGTGCCTCTATTTTGAGCAAAGCAGCAAATGCAAAATAAGTCAGTTTTCCTTGACAGATTTTAAACGAGGTGTAGCTTGTTGATGATGGTACAATACATAGCTCAGCTCAAAGGAAATGTGAGGTTTTCATGAATAAATATGGAGCCAAGAGATGCACAAGGCAAATAACCCATGTTTTAATGAGAGATGTGAAATAGAACTGAACTAGACTAATTTTTTTATAAACTGCAGGCTCTCATGGGTCAGGCAAGTCCCATTTATATTCAAAAAGTATTAGGAGGAGTGCAAAAGAGCATTATGCTACCCTGAAGATTTCAGCATGAGTCCTCAAAACAAACAGGCAGCAGAGCAGCATCCTGTTGGACCAAGGTGAAACATTCCTGTGTCAGTTAAAAAGGAAGAATTCATGGACAGGAGATGGGTTATGCCAAAAGGGGAGTACAGAAAATCAAAAGAAATGCAACAAGCGCCACAGTGAATGGTGTTGGCTGAATCCACACACCTGAAACAGATGCTCTGGGGAGGACAGGGGGATTTCCAGGGTTCCCCAGAACAGTCTTCCAGGCTCTCATGACCAGCAGCTCCTGACGGAAGCCATGCTTGCACCACCAAGAAGCTGTAGCTGCATGGGTGTCTCAGGCACAGCTTGTATCTACTATGACACTTCCCTCTGTATCCTTTCCTTTGCACACAACACAAAGGAGAGCTCAGCCTGTGAGATGGCTCCAGCTGCAGTAGTTTAGCAGACAGAGATGCTGTGATGGAACAGACCCTGTTTAGACGAAAGCTGCCCCAGGGGCACCCTACGCCTCCACACTGCAGAGCAAGCATCACAGCAGGTGGATGAGCATGGTCTTTGCTGAGCTGAACAGCCAAAAGCAACAGCTGGTACCCTGTCCATTTTTTGCCACTGGTGGCAATGTCTCAGACATTTTGCAAATTTGTTTCAGAGCAGAACAGGGCCAAAACCAACTTACCTTGCATGTAGCTTGGGTTTTGGTCTATTATCTTGCCATTCCTCTTCTGACAGTCAATCTTATAATCTCTTCATGAAGTATATATAACTTTATTTAAAATTACATGGGTGTCTAGTGTTTAATTCCTAATTAAATCTTATTTTAGTCTTCTTATATTTTTATCTCAGTATTTCCAATTCACCAGCCATTGAAAGGATACACAGAACTAGCACAGTACAGTCATACAGATAATGGTGCTATCTATCTTTTAAAGGGGATAGGAAGGCAGGAGAAATAAGATGAGCTTAAGTCTCCCCATAATCTGCTACAAGCCAACTGAAAAGAAATGAAACCAGGTTTGAAGCTGTTGATGAGATCTGCGTCTTTCTTCTTAATATTAAAACTCTTTAACTGATTAACAGCCAGTGATGTGTGAAAATAGTCTTAAAATTAAATTGGTTGCTAGAAAAAAATTATTATTTTTAGAGACAGCAAATACGCCATAAACAACCTGCTAGTGTTAGGTACAAGTGGGATGTGTTTCTGTTAGTAGCACATCCATTATTAGCAAATCAATTTCACTCTTTTTATTTTTAATAGCAGCCACAAAATGTGGCAGGCACAGAGCATTAACATCTGTGCAGCCTCTTGCTGCACTCCTTAAAGGGGCCAGAGAGAGATGGTCATGGTGAAGGATGGCAGTAAGAGCATCTTGGGATTGCAATGGCATGAGCTGATCCTTTAAACCAAAAGCACTCGGATTAGAAGCTGCCTTTGTACCTTGCAGAGGGGAGCCCACAAGAGCCATGCTGAAGGACACTGGCTCCTGGAAGGAATGTGGGGGGATGGAGGTAGAACCACCGGTCCTCTTACAATGACAACTGGCCTCTGCCAACAACGTGCTGAATGTGCTGTTCCAGTGCTAGAGACAGTGAGTACTGGGGAGGAGACAAAGCAAAAAGATGGGAGAACAAACCAGTAACACCAACCATCTGGAACTGCTTGCCAGATTATTTTCTGCAAGCCTTAACATCCAATGATTTGTGGCTGTGTCCCTGTAACCATCCCTTCCCTGAGCTTTGGCTGAAGACTGAAGCCAAAAGGCAGGGCTACTCTCCTCTCCAGCTGCCCCATGCCTTTGCTGCACACTGACCCAAGGCAGCACATGCTGGAAGCAAGGACCACATCCAAGGCTTTCCATATTCGCATGACCACGTCAGCAAAACCACCCAACCACCACAGAATCAGAGAATTATTAAGGCTGGAAAAGCCCTCCAAGATCAGCAAGTCCAACCTGTGACTGAACACCACCAGGTCAACTAAACCACAGCAGCAAGTGCCACATCCAGTCATTTTCCTGAACACTCCTAGGGATGGTGATGCCACCACTTCCCTGGGAAGCCTGTTTTAATGTCTGAAAACTCTTCCAGTGGAGAAATTCTTCCTGATGTCCAACCTGAATTTCGCCTGGTGCAGCTTGAAGCCATTTCCTCTCATCCTGTCACCAGTTGCCAGGCAGATGACTTCCTTCCTAAAGTATGTCCAGCATTCTTGGACCCTTTTGTTATTAAGGACTGTATTGGAATCGGTGTCCTGAACAGGCCGAAGTCTGCCCTCTGGAAGTCCAAGGCAGGTTTTGTAGATGCCTTTCAGTGTCCTGAACAGGCTGAAGTCTGCCCTCTGGAAGTCCAAGGCAGGTTTTGTAGATGCCTTTCCATACCTCAACAAGA